GCTGGCAGTGCTCCCATGTATGTGACCAGTGGCTTATGCAGACCCTTCTCTCCAAGGGAGGTGACCTCCCCAGCATAGATGACCTCGGGCAGCCAGCCCTGCTCCTCCTGCAGTGGGTGAAGACTGACCAAGCCTTGCTCATGCTCTTCAGCAGTGGCACTCTCCAGGTATGTGTGGGGCACAGTGGAGATGCTAAGACTTGTGTGCAGAGGAGGCCAGCTCGGGACTCCTGGCCTGTGTTAGATTCTGCCACAGCCCAAGTGCAAGGTCCAGCTGTGGGTACAGGATGCTGCTCCAGTGCCCAGAGCACCTGGCTGCAGCTTGTCCAGCCCATGGGGGATATGACGCTTTAGTCGGCCACTTCTGTCTGCCACAGTGCTGTGGCTGCTGTGTTCCCGCCATGGGGCATGGAGCAGGGATGCTCCCGGGCAGGTCAGGGAGGAGGAACGGGTTGAGGCAGGAAGTGTGGCTCCATCCCGTCTCCCGACATGCTGTGGGAAGCGTGGGTTAAACCAAGCCCAACCTGTCTCCTAGGTGAACTTCTACAATGACCACACCAAGGTGATCATTAGCAAGCCTGACCACTCCTGCCTTGTCACCTACATCAACCGGGAGCGCAACTCCTACACCTACAAGCTGTGCAGCATTCAGGAGCTGGGCTGCTCTCCTGAGCTCCACCACCGCCTCAGATACATCCTCAAGCTCCTCCAAGAACGGGCTGAGGCCTAGTGTGGGACCTTGGGGGACCCTCTCTGGATGTTAGAGGTCTCCCCCTGCCCTCCCACAGGATGGGAGGTATGTTGTGGTGCTGGCTGCCTGTCTGGGCACCCTGTATCCTGGTGCTCAGCTGGACTTTGGACTAAGACATGTGGATGTGGTTACAGCAGCAGATCATCCTTGCTGATCATGGCTCTGGGCAATTGCTCTGGTTGTGCTGGTCTTGGTGGAGTGGACCAAGGTGGCACAGGGAGGTGGTAGGTGAGTGCCCTGCAGCCAGATTTGGGGCTGGCTGTGCCTCATTTGTGGCCTGGTGCTCCAACCTGCCCTAGCTGGCAGCTGTCTGCAGTGGGGGCTCGGCCTGTCCTGCCCAAGGTGATGTACCAGTTGCACACATCCTCTCCTGGAGAGGACTGGCACAGCCATGACCTCAAGGCTTGGCTTCTGTGGGGTAGGAAAATCTCCTTCCCAGGGGTAGACAGGGGTGAAGGGTGCTGCCTGGCCTGCCAGGGATTGTGTGGGCTGGTGTGTGCCACTCCACAACTGCTACACTAAGGAGGGGACTGTGCTGGGCCCAGCTGTGTCCTTTCTGCTCCCAAATTGTGAATTGTCTGGTACAACTTGAGGTTTGATAAAGGGTGGGTGGGATGGGATCCAAGGGCTTGCCTGAAGAAGCCCTTGTTTTGCTGGGACTTGTTTCAAGGCAGTCTCTGTTGTGTTGGGACTATTTATGTATCTTATTTATATGGAATTATTTATTTTTCCTGTTGGTCTGTCCATGTGCAGCTCCCCTGTCCTTGACTCACCTGAATAAAAAAATTATTTGTGTAAGGGCAAACTGTCTAACTAGCTTGGAGCTGGGGTCACAGAAGGGTTTTACCTTCCTCATCATCCTTGCTCCAGGGCTGCTTCTGTCTGCTAGGCAGGACCCCTCTTGACACTCGCTATTGCTGGGTGACAAGGTCAGGGAGGCAGGAGGGAGGTGATGAGCCCATGTGGTACCTCCACTGGCCTTCCTGGGGGTGGCAGGAAGAGCAGAGTTAGCTCTTGTTGATGCTTGTGGAGCCCTGGAGCTGCCTCAGCTTCTTGCTGCTGCCGCCAAACTCCCATTCCCAAGTGTCTCTGCACTTGGACCAAACCCAGCTGCTGTCATGCTGCTGAGCTGGAGAAGGCAGGGGCTGTGGCCCAGGGGCTGGGTGGGTTGCCTGGGTCCTTTCACTGAGATCTGGTATCATGGGATATGAGCTGGGAATGAAGCCAGGAAAGAGGAGGGACTTAATCTGCTCCATGAGCTTGCTTTGAATGTGATCTGTCACCTCCTTCCCCAGCGCTGGAGTAATCAATCTGCCTTGTGAGCAGCTTGTGTTGTGGGAAGCAGACTAGGCTCCTCCCTGTAGCATGGCCTTGGGCAGCTGCCTGCTCCAGGCTAATGCAGCCTTTTGGGTTCTATTTGCTGCAGCTTGGAGCTTCTTGCAAACTGTGGTAGTGGAAACTTCAGTGGGGGTGTGAGCCTAGGCTGGGGGCTGTAGTAAGCATCAGGGCACTGCGGTTCACCCATACCTTGCTCCCTGCACACCTTATGGCCAAAGACTCCAAGTATGAGACACAGCTGGAGCAATCCTCTTTATTTCAGCTGCTCTCCCCTTGCAGCTCTACAAGGCTGGGTGAAGGGAGAGGAAGATGCTACTCAAAGTAGACCCCATGCACTGTGGCCACAGCAAAGAGGGAGGCATTGGAGAAAGTGGCAGAGGCAAAGCTGTCACTCTCAGGGTCCCACAGTGCCCGGCTGGCCACCAGCAAGCTCTGCTGGCCCTGCTGCCCCAGCAGCACATTGCAGACCAGCTTGTAGCGGGGTGGCACCACCTCCTTTGCCTGGCTCTGCAGCAACTCGACCAGGCTCTGGGCTAGCAGGGCACTGCCCTGGGGGCTGTAGACTGTGGTTCCCAGGACACTGGCCAGGGCCCCCTCTAGCACTTGCTGCACCCGCCTGGCGTTGAACTTGCAGCCTTTGTCTGGCTGCATCCTGTAAGTGTTTTCAAGGCGGGTCTTGAGGACAGGCTGGAAAAGAGGGAGTCCGGAGAAACTCACGCGGCTGTGGAGCATCCAGGGGCATCCAATGGAGGGGCGCCTGCCCCCCGGGGCTGCCCCAAGCGAGCTGCGGCGGCTGGCCAGGGGTGCTGGGAGGGTGCTGAGGATGGAGCTTCGGCGGGAGGGCAGGAGAGGTGGTTTGCCTTCCTCAGTGCCTCGTGCCAGGGCTGGGGGCTGGGACCCGCGGCGGCTGGCCTGGAGCAGAGGGGCTTCAGTGTTGTCCACAGCCATCACCTGGGCTGGCAGGGCCATCTCTGGGGATGGCTGCTCGGCCATACAGGTGACCTGGAAAGGAGATGTGGCTCTGAGTGTCAGGGGGAGGTGGGTTGTTCCCAGCCTCTCTATCCCACTGCCTCTTCTTTGCTTCTCCCTGCCTCCTGCAAATCCCACACCTCCTGGCATGCAGGTCCCTGAGGGGTTGGAGGGACTGTGGCAGTTGCCTTCCCTTCTCTAGTTCCTCCATCCCCAGCAGGCTCGGCCAGCTGGGGCTGATTCAGCACTGCCATGCACAGTCCATCCAGCCCTCTGCTCTCACAGCCACAGCCCTTCCCCTGGCACAGGTGAGCAACTCCATCCCCTCCAGCCTCCCCAGCCCTCCTGCCTGCATCTGGTCCCACACTTCCCCCTGGCCCCACTCCTACCCTGCCGGCGTAAACCTAGGTGACTCGTCTCCAGCCAATGTCGTGCTCCTGGCTGCCCAGGACCAACCTTGGTCCCCCAGTTCACAGTGAGCAGGGCCAAACCTGTTGTGCTTCTGAAGCTGGAGTGTTGCTATGTGACACTGCAGCTCTCCAGGACTGCTCTGGGGCACGGCTCCGGTAACTCCTTGTTTCCTGGTCTCTAGACAGTCCTATTTCCTCTCACTCCGCCCAGTCTGAATTTCCAGCCGTGCCAGCACAGGGACACGGTTGTTCTAGGCACATACCCTCCAACCTTGGCTGCTGCCTGCCAGCCCCCAAAAATGCTTGCTGGTGCTGAATGTACAAAGGAAGAGCAGAGAGTGGAGAACAGCCACTGTGATTGCTGCTTTGCACCCCAACTATGAGCTGCACCAGGGCTGGGACCTCTGACAGCCCAATTTTACCCAAAGGGTACATCCCCCCCCTGCACCAAGGGAGAGTGTGGGCAGGTGGGCACCCATCGCATGCAGCCCTGCCATGTGCAGGGGACTCTGTTGCCGCGATGCCCTGGCCTGAGGACAGGTTTGCTGGGGGCTCCTGATCCCCAGTGGGGTTCCTCTCTGCTGGCGGAGCCCAGCCCAGCTGGTACGCCACAGCTACCCCGTCAATGTGCCTTTGTCTGGCCCGGCTGCTGAGCTATTTGAGGAAAGTGGAGACGGCTTTTGTGTTTCTATCTCCTGTCAGAGGTATTTATAGCCTGCTGCTGACTAGTGCTGCCAAGCACACTGGCAGCTGGACCCTGCTCCCTCGGGGTGCTGCCATCAGCTGGGGGCCCTACTCCTCCCTTTCCCTCCCACTGCTGCTAGCAAGCGAAGGTGTGTCCCTCCATGGGCACCCTCCCTCCATCCCCATCCATGGGCTGCTTGGGGCCAGACAGGCATGGGAGAAAGGGGATTGGCCATCCCCTGGCACCGCACTTGGCTTGGGCTTGAGCAAAGCTCGTTATGGTTTTTTTCTGCCTCTGATTGTTTGTGTCCTGAGTAGATGTGAGAGCAGCAGGGCCTTGGCCTGGAGCATCGGCAGGAGAGGAGGCTTTTATCTTTTCAGGAGGGCAGATCTGCCCGCAGGGATCAACTTTGCTTCACTGCCAGGGCTGGGGACCCAGCCCTGCCCAGTGGCTTTCCACAGGGCCTGTGGAGGTGGGGGTGATCTTTCTGCATTTAACCGGTGTATGTGTTGCCTTTTCCAAAACCCCAGCTGCCGGCCTCTCTTTGCCCCCATGGGCTCCTCTGCAGCACGGTCACCAGCGGGGCGTGGGGGCAGGTCCCCGTGCCGGGGGTGCTGGGGCCATGTCCTGAGCTGCCGCCGGGGATGCCCCTTGAACTGAGATGCAGGCCTGCAAACGGCCAGAGCCCCCTCAGCAGCACGGGTGGGCTTCACCACTCGCCGCCCCCCCTCTCCCTCCCGCTGCCTGCCCGGCCCTGGCTCTGCCTCTGCCAGGTTTCCCTAGCAATGGGCTGTGTCGTATGGCGCGGCAGCCTCCTCCCCGCGGCCTCCCCAGGCCGGCCAGCCTCCCGCCTGCCTCCCGCCTGCCTGCGCCGCCTTCCTCCGCCGCTCTCCCCAAGGCAGCCCATGGCCGGACCCTGCTCGGCGCGGCTGCAGGGCGAAGCGGCCACCTTCGCTGCTGCCCTTCGCACTCTGGTCAACAACCCCCAGTTCAGGTGAGGCCGCCACCCCCCCACCATGCTGAAGCCCCTGGCGCCTGCTTCGTGTCGCTTTCCCGTGGCCCCGAGTGCTGCTGGGGGGTGGGGTGGGGTGTTTGTGTTGGGGCCCCTGGGCGATGCGTGGAGCCCCGGACAGTAGTGGGGCAGCCATGGCTTCTGCATGCTCCCAGGCACCCCGCACGGCTTTTGCAGTGCTCCCCCCACATTCTCACAGCTGTGGAACCCCGGGGCTGCCCGGGTGCATCCCCTTCCTGGGACAGCCGCTGCCTTTCGGAAGGAGGGAAGGTCTCTGGGTGCGCCCAGACCCCCTCTGTCCCCGGGCATGGTGCCAGCAGGGCAAGGCAGTGTCCCAGGCTAAATCCCATGCTGGGGCTCCTGACATTGAGGTGTGGGGGTACTGCAGTCACCCCGTTCCCCAGAGGCAGCTACCCATGCTCAGCTCCTTTCCAACCCTGTCTTTACTGGAGCTCTTCTTTGACATCTCCAAACTACCTGCATCCTGAGAGCAGGTGGCAGCCCAGCCAGCCCCCCTCACAGTGCCTGGCGTCCCTGCCACCTCCTCCCAAAGCGGGGAGCAGAGATACAATGCTGCTGCCTCGACTGCCCTCCACCTACACAGCACCTCCTGCCTGGCAGCTGGCTGGCTGTGTGATCCTCTTTGCCCACTTCATGCTGAGGACTGACACAAATTCTAGTGCTATCTGAGGAATTCCCCATCCCTGCTGAAATTTTGGCCACTCAGAAGAGAAATCCCAGTGAGAACTCCTCGGCCACAGTGCCAGGCAGGGCGGGAACTGGTTGCCAGCGCCTGTCCATCCCCAGCCCACATCCTGCTGCTCGCATCTTGCGTCCCACAGCCTTCATTCTGAATCCCACAACCTGCTTCCTGCAGCCTTCATTCTGCATCCTGCAACCTGCAATCCACACTCTGCATCCATCAAACTTCATCCTGCATCCTTCACCCTACATCCTTCCTCCTGCAGCCTACACCCTGCAGCCTTCATTTTGCATCTTGCAACCTGCACCCCACACCAGGTAACCTTTGTCCTGCATCCTGCACTCTGCAACCTTTAGCCTGCATCCATCCTGCACCCCCCATCCTGCAGCCTGCACCCCAGACCTTGCATCCCACAAACGCAGCCTGCATCCCGCATCTCACAGCCCACATCCTGCAGACTTCACCCTGCTTCCCCCTCTTGGCCTGTGGACCATAGTCACTTAACAGTTATTTCAGTACCCCTGTCTTGCAGTAGCAGTCGTGGAGGACCTGTTGGGCTCTGCTCACACCGCCCAGCACACCCCATCCCTGTGTATTCTGATATACATGTGGGATGATGTAGCTGCCCTTCCCTCTGGTGGGCACATCCGTCCCTGTAGGACACTGTGAGGGCCAGGCCATGGGCTTATGCATGGCCTCTGCTTATTACCCTGCTGGGGTGGAGGAAGAGAGGAGATGATGAGGGCATGGCTGCATGGTTCACAAAGGTTGGAGACACCCTCCCCTTTGCCTGCTCCCTTTCCCCTGATCTTGCTTCCCTTTCCTGGGGCCATGGGGCTGGAGAACTGTGCTGGAGGGGGCTGTGGGGGCCCAGGGCAGCGGGATGGACCCTGTGCCCCAGTGTGCACCACAGACTGCCCTGTCTCGCAGACCTGGGGAGGGCCAGTGCCAGCCTCAGCAGCGATGCTGGAGGTTTTGCATCCCTGAGCCTGTGAGTCAGTTCCCATGAGTCAAGGAGGTTGAGCCTGGTGGCAGCTGCGCTTTCCCTGACTCTGCTGTGCCAAAAGAGAAAGCCACTTTCTCCTGCTGTCCCTGGCCTTTCTCTGCCCTGCTCTGTGCCAGCACCCAGAGCTGTCTGTGCCAGCACCCATGGCTGGCTGTGCTTTCCAGATGACCCATTTTGCTCACCCCACCTGCAGCATTCAGATGTTCGCAAGGAGGCACCAACAAGGAACCCTCTTTGTCTCTGCTTGGAAAAGCCGCTGGATTAAAACTAAAGAGCCCTGCCCTGCTGGGATGGGCACCCAGCTGGTCCCTGCCCATGTGCCTTGTCCCAGCCCCAGGGCACCCCCTGCCCTGGCTTCCCTGGCACGGTCCCTTTTCCCCCACAGTGACGTGACATTCGTGGTGGGCCGGGAGCAGCAGAAGGTTTTTGCGCACCGCTGCGTGTTGGCGTGCCGCTGCCAGGCTTTCCGGGGGATGCTCAGCCAGGGGCCAGTGGGCAGCGAGGACTCTCCCAGCAGCATCCCACCCCAGGGCCCCTTCATCCTGGGCAACGTGCAGCCCGAGGTCTTCCTGGCCGTCATTGAATTCCTCTACACCAACAGCGTCACCCTCAACAGCCACATCGTGAGTGGGGATGGGGCTGACAGGGACCATGGGCAAGGGCAGGACAAGGTGGGGGGTGCTTTGCAGGTCGTGGGGTGCTGAAGGTGGAGGGGATGCTCTGCATGATGCTTTCTGGCTAACAGCGCAATGATTGTGTGGGGTCTCAGCACAGTGGGGTGTCCAGAGCACCTTGTCCTATATGTGTATGCCCCAGCCTTGGGACAGCTGGCTGTGCACACCCTGGGTGCTGGGAGGAATGCTGGAGCAGGACACTTTCATATGCCCCCATAGCGCAGCCCCTTCCCCCTGACCGTGCCCCACCTGGGAGATCCCACACGGGCAGGACACATGCCCCATCCATGACCCTGCCCGACGATGCTCACAGGGTCTATCTTGCCTGCAGGTACTAGAGGTGCTGACCTCATCAGTGGAGTACGGCCTGCAGGACCTGTGCAAGGTATGGCTCTGATTAGACTGGGGACAGTGGTCCCCAAGTGCCCCTGTGCTGAGGAACACCCCGAGATGGTCCCCACATGGCTGGTGGCTCTGAGGACAGCACCATGGTGCATCACTCAGGTCCAGCGCAGGCTCAGTCCCTGCTTCTCGATCCTGGAGGGTCTCTCTGGAGGGATCACCCTTGAGGGGGTGCAGCGCCGGCCAGGATCCCCACAGGGGCCAGGAAATCCCAGGGAAAGGCATGGGGCCTCATGTCTCCCATACAGCAAAGAGCAGCAGGAAAGCCCCTACGCCATCATCCACAATTGCCCTCTGGTCATCTGGCAGGATGATGCCGTAGGGAAAGCCCCGGTCCTGGGGAGCTCTCAGCAGGCAAGCCATGGTGCTGCCAAGCGGGTGCTGCTTTGGGCAGGAAGGTTTTGGGAAAGCAGCAGGGAGCAAAAAGGAGGAGTGGGAGCCGGATGAGGAGGGGTCAGGGAACTGAAGCAGCTCAGCATTGGGGAGGGCGGCTGGGCCACGTCATCAGTGTGATTCCTGAACGATGGCTGGGCCGATCGCGTGACCCGCCGTCTCATGCCCGGACTTCCCCTTCCTTCCCATCGCGCCGGGGAAGGACCGTGCTGAGGCACTGTGCGCTGCGGTGGGCTGGGATGGCGGGCTGGGACCTGCCCCCTCAGCCCATGGGGACGTGCTCGGTCGAAGCCCGGATGGGGCACGGGGCTGTCCAACAGCTGGCTGGGCAGGGAAGGGACATAAGGGGTGTTGCAAGAAAGGGGGACTCGGTGCCCCAGTCACATGAGTCCCACCCCACCACCCAGCAAATGAATCCTCAGGGGGGTGACCTGCAGCGCATAGAGTCGTAAAGGAGGCAGAGGGGTGGGGAAGGGGCTGACCAAGGACAGCCGGGGAATTCCGTGGCTTCATCCACAGCTGAAGGGTGACTTCATGTCCCTCTTGGCAATGACTCAGGGCCCTTCTGCTCCAGCTGACAGCTCCTCCCTGCATGTGACATCCCCTTGGGTTTCCCAGGGGCTCTGACCCTTTCCGTGGGAGGCAGCTGGGATGGGCGGGAGGGAGGTCATGCTCACCAGTAGATGTGCCTGGCTGCATCCCACCTGCATCGCCCGTGTGTGGGCTGCAGCTGGAGGTACTGGTCCCCCGGCAGTCCCAGGCAGAGCACAGCTGGCAGGCAGGACTGGCCAAAACTGGGGTCACCCAGAGCACTGTCGCTGGCACCAGGACTGTCCCCCCGGCAGGACATGGCAGGTGACTGTGGCCAGGGTTAGGTGACCCACCTGGGGCTATGAAGTTGGCTGAAGTTTGGGCACATCAGGCTCAGTCCCTGGCTGAATCAGTGCCCAAGTTGGCTGCCCACAGGCCGTGCTGTGAGTCATCCCACAGTCTATCTGCTTTACAAAAACTTGGGGGGGGGAGATGGAGGTGCTTCCACCCCATGTTCCATGTCCCGTATCCCATGTCCTGGGGGCTCAGGGAATGCTGGGAGTCAGTGGAGGGGGGATGGCAGGGCTGGGTCTCCACTCTGCTCACCCTCTCCCCATTTGCTTTCCAGCTCTGTGTCAAGTTCATCAAGGACACGCTGACTGTGGAGCAGGTCTGCGAGGCCCTGCAGGTGAGGGTGATCCCAATGGGGTCACAGAGGGTTAAAAGTAGTCCATCTGATTTTGGGGCAGGAGCTGGCCTGATCCTCCTGATTGGGGG